CAGTGACAGATTTGGAAAATAATTTTTTCTGCAATTCTGTAATAATGAAATCCAAAACATTTAGATACCATTTTAAAATATGTTGGCTCTCATTTATTTTGATTTATATCATTAATTTCATGATCTTGACATACGTTTTATTGAAAATCTCTCTCCATGGCCCACTGTTATGACTAATTCTATTTCACAGCATTTTTTAGAGGAAATCTCTAACCACAGTACCTCCAGAAAGTTCATTGATTACCAAAGTCTCGGATAAAATTGATGCCAGAATTTATTTTGAACTAATGTGGTGAGTACCACTCTCCTGGTAAAAGCTTTCTCTAAAATTCTTAATTTTATTCTTCAACTTTCCTTTTGTAATTAGTACTTCCAATTTATCACGTATTATATAAGTCAAAAATCCAGAATGAATGGAGGATTTGTAATCGTTTATTGTAATCCAGGCAATTTTGGTAGAGATGAATATTGATTCTTTGGTTTAAGCCCTCTTTGCCACTTGTATATACCTTTAGAGATGGGAGACATGTTTTTTATTCATATTATCAGGATCAGTATTCAAGAATATCAAATGAATTGGTATGCAAATTGATAACTAATTTGCCTGTTCAAATATGTGGAATAAAACCAAATTCCTAGTTGGCATGTATGAGCCTCACAGAATTTGGAGATGAGCTCTTTTAGGAACACCCAAAATTTTGCTCAAAAGATCTGAGACTTCTGCTAAGATGATATATTGTCTCAAGTCTCAAAACAATTTCATAATATGAGGTTGAGCAATTTCTCTGCAGTTGTCTTATGATATAACTAAACGCTAGGGAAAATAACTTCTACTTTAGTAGGATTGATGCAATCTTTGGTCCCCTCATGTTGAGCATGAAGCCACATTATTTTCTAAAGATTAGACTGTGTCATCAGGTGAAGGGTTAGTGGGAGACTGGAGTATTTTTTTGTAAAAAAGCAAGTTAATCACTAAGAATAGGATCTGCTTAGTTTAGGGCCTGTCAGTTTCCTGCTTTTTTTCTCAAATAAAGTGGGAGAATAAAATACCCACAATAATCTCAGTGCAAACCAAATTCAATGTAGAAAAACATTTTAAAAAGGATATTTCTTGCATCAAAAATACACAGGGTGTATTTTTATGGGGTCAAAAGTCTAACCCCACTTTCTCTTGGAGCCTCAAAGCCCCCAAACATAATATATTTCATTAAAATTAGAATTTTTTTAAAAAGAAAAAATTGTGAACACTAGTAAGAACTGTCCAAATTGGCTCCATATGTGTAGGTCAAAGTTAAAATTTCATTGAAGGTCAGATTTCTCTTTGGTCAAACTCCAGGTGACCTGCTTCCTGCCCGTTCTCAATGAAAATACATCCAGCCAGCCCTCTGACCCCTCTAGGTGATTAATTGTTGGAATAATTGGCTGCGAAGGTCTTCACAAGACAATAGTCTAATGCTACTTGAGGTAGAAGATGCAATTAACTGTGTTAGCCTATTTTTTTTCTTCTTCATCTTATTTGAAGCTCAAGAGTTGGCCCTTTGCCTTCATTCAGTGCACAATATGTCAGCCATTTAGGAAAATCTAGTGGTTAAAAAACACTTTTTTTTAGTCAAAAGAAAGGAGGCCAGTCAGAAAAGAGACCTTATTTCTTGAATATTGTTGATTTCTCCTTCAGAATCAGCTTAAGAGCCAAATACCTCTCTGTTTTTTTTTTTTTTAACCACAGCTCAGTGGGAGATATTCTTTTGGAGGCACCTTCCTGGATTGTCCTGTTCTGAGAAAATTGTGTAGTCAAGGTTGAAACTCAAGAGGGGCTCTCTGATGTATAAGGTATACATGGTGTTAAGAGAAGGATATGTTGCTAATATGAAGTTCAGCATACCAAGAAAGACAGAGTAATAGGTGTCCAGTTGTGTTGGGAGGGAGAAGGAAAAAGTTTCTATAATGTTTCTTTGTGGTTAGGTAGAACTGAGTACTGGCAAGCTCATAAAGCTCTTCACAAGCCCTGTTGAATCTTCCTAGTCTTAGCTGTGAGGCTCAGAGGTATGTTTATACAGGGAAGAGAAACAGTATAGCCAAGTTACAAAGCGAACCAGTGTCTGAGTCAGAAATAGAACTCCTTGCTTCCAATGCTGTGTTAAGTCCCAGCACCACACCCTCACTGCTAGACAGCAAAGGAGCTGTGTGTTCAAGCAAGGGAAAGCTATGAATAGGGCCTTAGTGGCAGTCTTCCCATGACCTCTCTTCAGTATTGAGATTGTAATGCTTTCTTATCTGTGGCCCTTTCTCTCCTACAGGATTTGGTTACTCAAAGAAGCAGAGCAGACTGCCTGCTGTGGGTATAGCTTATATGTTCTGAGAGACATAAAACTGAATGGAAAATGGGGAGACAGAGCTCACCTCTTTGAAACTCACCATCTTGAGCAGTACAAAATAATACATAGCCAGTGAGCTAGAAGCATGCTGTGTAAATGGGTCACCAGTGGAACAGACTGAAGGGACTCTGGGCAGGGGTGAAAAGGCTTCTATTATGAAAGCATTTTCCAAGTAAAATAAACTTACTGGCAGTACTTATTATAGAATGCAAGTGCAAGCAGATCGTAATGAATGAGTTTTGGCTTTAATGTTAGGGGTTTTGCAGTCCCATAATTTCTTCAGATTGTGTGATTATGTTAGAGGGATATTTTTTACTATCTTGATTTCTTTCAACAATGAAGAAAAAAGAGGCCTCCAGACTAATGAGTAGTGAGTAGGGGTGTTAAAAATAATATATAAAGTAGTTTAAGCAGTAAGAAGTTTGCTATTCTCTTTTTCTGTCTGCTACCTCATTGGTGAAAATTTACAGAAACTTAGGCCTACAGTTTTCAAAAAGAGGTTTGAAATTCACTGACTGAAAATTTCCAGGCTCTTCCTGGTTTTTATTTTCTGATCAACTTCAGGGACCTTAAACATAGTGATCACATACTGTTCTTTCTGAGAAAACTGAAAGGAGTGAGGTGAAGCAAGATAGAATAGGATTGGAGTAATTGTAAACTAGAGATACTTCCTGAAGCCCTGAATACAAATTAGGTGACAGCATTGACCTCTCCCCAGCAACATCCTCTTTTTTTTCACCTTTTCTTCTCTTTCTTTCGATTCTCCACTTTTTCTTTCTCTGCTACTTTCTCTTCTATCTCTTCTTCTGCTCTGCCCACCTATTTTTATTTCTTCTTCATCTGACTTTTTCCCCTCCTGGACCTTACATGGTCTAGGTTCCTACTATACTCTGCTTTTATATATCAAGGTTACTTGTGGCACAAGTTGAGCTGGGCTTATGGCATAAAATGGTCAAGAAAGAATATAATCTTAGTGCAGTGTTAGGCTCAGAGGAAGCACTCCATAAAGATTTGTTGAATGAGAATTAAAGAATAGCAAGTTCCCAATTTTAACTTGAAAACTTCAGCTATTAAAAATAACAATCTTTTGCTTTGTACTCTGTATTCTCTAGAGAAATCTCTCTCTCTCTCTCTCTCTCTCTCTCGGCACTGCAGTGAGTGAATTATTTTTTCCTAAACCATTTTTTCCCCTCAAACTGAACACTGGTTGAAGCAGCTTCAGGCATCTACAACTCTGGTGGGTTCCCCTATCCACTTCCTTTTTTGTTATATACAGAGGTGCTTTGACCTATTCTTGAGAGTTGGAAGGGAAGAGTGATGTAAGGAGGAATCACTTAAGAGAAATGCCTTTCACAGTCATTTACATAACTATAAAAACAGTTATGTAAATACAGTCATGTAAAAATTCATTATTGGTTATATCAGAGTATAAAGACCACTTTTCTTCCATATCACCCTCATTGAAAATAATTTATTCAGCAGCTACTTGTCCATAGTGTATTATAGAGCATTTGAAAGAAAGTCCTTGTCTAATGGCAGCTGTTGATCTAGGAGAAGGTTAGTATGATTTCTATATGCACCTTTGAACAATGTTGGCCCAGATACCCAACAGAAATGATTAAGTCAATGACTGTCACATGTACAAGTAATGGCATGAATGGGCATATAACTGGCCAAGTCAGAAGTGTACAGTGAGTGAGATAGAGGGATGGCTGTTTATGTCAAATCTACCTTTCACATTTCACTTGCATTTATCAGAAAAGGCTTTATTGACCAAGGCTATTTTAGGAGCTGAAGGCATGATAGTAAGTGATGGAATGGGCAGTGGGAGAGGGAGAAGTAAGGCTTCTTAGGTTAACGGTCTATCATGAGAGAAGCTTGGAAAGGGGACCACAATCTGCAGGAGAGAAATGCTGATATCATTTGAATTATCTTTCTCGAAAGGCAGTGTAATAAAGTGAAAAACGTTTAGCCAGAAACTTTAATTAACTGAGGGATTTCTGCTTTCTGAACTCTTTTTCATTTTTAGAAGAAAAAGGTGAATCAACAGTTTACTTCAGGAGTTTAGTCATAACTCTTCGAAGAACATGTCTTGGAGGTCCCATATCCACCTGTAGTCTTGTGCAATAGTCAGACAATGAAGTTTAGCAGTATTGGAGAGTAGACAGTACAGTTCAGAGTAGCTTAACAATCCTTTGGTTAGGAATAAAATCTGAATTCTGATTCTGACTATACAAATTATACCTTCTTCCAATTCTGATATTATTATAATTCTAAATTACATAATCCTCAGTTTCTGCTTCTGTAATATGATGATAAATTTCTGTCTTGTCTACCTTATGGTATACTTGTAGGAATCAGGTAAAACTTGCTTTTGAAAGTTAAAAAGTGCCATACAAATTTCAAAGTATTAGCATTATTTTAACTATCAGAGCCGTTTCCTGCCGCTGGCCTCCTTGGGCTCTCATATAACCAACACCTTATTCCTGTTCATTGCATTGCTACAGTATTACACTTATTGTATTGAGTGTGATCTCTTCCACTCCTGCAACATACTCTCATAGTACCTTTTAAGGTGCTCAAGAGGTACTTTCAAACCAAGTCAAATGTGCATGTTATTTCCAATCTGGGTGGACAGAATATGTTTTATTCCACGGAAATCATGGATGGAAGGCAGATTTAATGATTTGTTCCATCTTGTCTCCCATAGGACGAAATAATATCCTACCAGTCCCTAGTCTCAGAGTGGTGAACCGTGCAGCCAGCAGGCCTCCTGAAAAAAAATCCATGGGTGATAGAAGATTCACTGACTTCCAATTCCAAGATTTAAATTCAAGCCTCAGACTCCAGTTGGGCAATGCTACTGCCCATAATACTTGCATTGTTGATGATTCCTTTAAGTATAATTTGAATGGTGCTGTCTACAGTGTTGTATTCATCCTGGGTCTGATAACCAACAGTGCCTCTCTGTTTGTCTTCTGCTTTCGCATGAAAATGAGAAGTGAAACTGCTATTTTCATCACTAATTTGGCTCTATCTGATTTACTCTTTGTCTGCACTCTACCTTTCAAAATATTTTATAATTTCAACCGCCACTGGCCTTTTGGTGATACTCTCTGCAAGATCTCTGGAACTGCATTTCTCACCAACATCTATGGGAGCATGCTCTTCCTCACCTGTATTAGTGTGGATCGTTTCCTGGCCATTGTCTATCCCTTCCGATCTCGTACCATTAGGACCAGGAAGAATTCTGCCATTGTGTGTGCTGGAGTCTGGATCCTAGTCCTCAGCGGTGGTATTTCAGCTTCTTTGTTCTCAACCACTAATGTCAACAATGCGACCACCACTTGCTTTGAGGGCTTCTCCAAACGTATCTGGAAGACTTATCTATCTAAAATCACCATATTTATTGAAGTTGTTGGGTTCATCATTCCTCTGATATTGAATGTTTCTTGTTCTTCTGTGGTGCTAAGAACTCTTCGCAAGCCTGCTACACTGTCTCAAATTGGGACCAATAAGAAAAAAGTGCTGAAGATGATCACAGTGCATATGGCAGTCTTCGTGCTATGTTTTGTACCCTATAACTCCATTCTCTTCCTGTATGCCCTGGTGCGCTCTCAAGCCATTACCAATTGCTTTTTGGAAAGATTTGCTAAGATCATGTACCCAATCACCTTGTGCCTTGCAACTCTTAACTGTTGTTTTGATCCTTTCATCTATTACTTCACCCTTGAGTCCTTTCAGAAGTCTTTCTACATCAATACTCATATCAGGATGGAGACCCTATTTAAGACTGAAACTCCTCTGACAGTAAAACCTTCCCTTCCAGCTATTCAAGAGGAAGTTAGTGATCAAACAACACATAATGGTGGTGAGTTAATGCTAGAATCTACCTTCTAGGTATAAGAACTGTCTTTAGGTCCAGATATGGTTTCTCCTATGATTTTTCCTATGCTATGAATCAGAGAAAATATTTGAAGTTAATGATACTGAGAATAGACTAATGTACTGAATACAGTCAGATACATTTATTTGAACATTTACTGTACATATGCTGTTTTGTTCAATAGTTATAGGTCAGATCTAATTACAAAATATCAAAAGTGAATACCAAACTCTTTTGCTGGGTTGAAATTTCATTGCATCACATTATATAAGTGGCCAGTGGCCTTGACTTTACCGATATGGAGATTACTTTCAGACTTTTAAAAAGTTACTTCTATTTCAATAATATTTTGAAATTAGGTTAGGCCTATAAATATAGAACAAATTCAGGGATTATTTAAAAAAAAACCCTTTGTGTTACTACTGATATATGCTAGTTTTTGTTTGAATTGTCATCAAGTTTATTTTAGCACAATAACATATTTTAGCCTAACATTATTAATAAGAAATGTATCAAAACAAAAAGAGTTGATAAATTTATTATATATATGTTGAAAGCAGAAACATAAATTGTGTTTGCATGAAAATGGGTAGAAAGAAACAGAAAATTAACTGGATTTACATATTTGCACTCACCGGCAGTGTCAGTATTTTTTTTAAAAATCCTTCCTGTTTTTACACTACATTAAGATTTTCATATAAATCTTCAAATCAAGAAAGCTGCTAAATATGTGCTAAAGACAGGTGTACAATGGAAAATCACATAAAACAAGTGTCCATGGAAAAAAACCTAAGAAACACCAACAGTTTTTTCTTAATATATCCAATTTTCTTTTGAGAGAATGGTTTCTATAAAAATATTCTCTATATGCAAATTTGGAGCACAATGTAGCCAGAAAGCTGCAGGTTTTGTGTCTAGGTCAGGAGCAAATTGAAAAATAAAAACAACAAAATAATAAAAAGTAAAGCAAAACCAACAGAAACAACTTTCTTAAAACTTGCATTAATAATTTTTCTTTTGAAGGCAGAGATCTCTAACTTTAAGTTACTTATTCTGTCATATTAAGTTTTGGTGCAGTGTAGCCAGAGCTGCTGACTTTCAGCCCAGGTTGGGAGCATGTTGAAAAAAATACATAAACTAAAACAAACCAATGCAGACAAACAAACAACCTCCTCCAAATTAAAACAAAACAAAACAAAACAAAACAATTAAAACATAGTTCTAACACTTACATTAATACTTTATTTTTGAAGATCTTTAAATTTAAAAATACTATATCATTTGTATGAAATTTTGGAGTATAATATAAGTAGAAATCTGCTGAATTTGTGTCTAGGTCAGGACCGAACTGGAAAAACAAGCAAACAAACATAAAACAACCCCCTACAAAACCAGAGAAAAAAGCACAAAAAATTTTAGAACTCGTATTTTTTAAGCATTTTAAAAATTGCAAAATGGTATAAATTTAATGTGATGCTTTGATCAAAACGCAGCTAGGAGGCTGCATTGCTGCCACCCAGTTCAGGGGCAATTAAAATCAATATTTAAAAGTATACACAAGAAGAGAAAATGCTTTTTATAACTCACTTTTATAGCTCACTTAAACAACAAAAAATTCTTAAAAACTCATTTTTTGGATAAGTATAGATTTTAGAATATTAAGACTTGTAAATAAAAGTTATGGGCACAATATAGCTTGAAAGCACACCTATTGTGTTCATGTCAGAAGCAGTGGAAGTAAATACCCTCACATATACACCATACACATGCAATTAAAACACTGCAGGACAACCAAAATATTCTTAAAATGTACGTAAATCAATTTTAAAAATATCTGGATGGTATGGCAACTTAAAAGTGCTAAGACTTTTAAAGTAAAACTTCCAGTAACAATGCATCCTGTAAGCTGCTAAACTTGTGCCAAGGAGCAAAAAAATTTTAAAACCATTGAACAACAACAAAAAAAGTAAAAAACATTAAAGCAATAAGCAAATTCTTAAAACTGTAATTAACTTTTTATTTTTTCCGATGATATGTAGATTTAACATTTTAAGATTTTTAAGTAAAAATCCATGAGCATAATGTAACTTTAAAACTGCTCAATCTGTGCCTGGGTTAGAAACTAATTGGAAAAAATGCTAAAACAATAGAATAATAATAAAAATTAGTTCTCATAAACTACATTACTTTTTCCACACTACCTGAAGTCCTAAAAATAATCACGCATTATGTCGTTTTGTGAAAACAGGTTATAGATAGAATTTATAAGACATTAGGTTCAGTTAGATGAAATTAGGTTAAGTTAGGTTAAATTCAGTTGTTAGGTTATATTTTAAGATCAAATTACTAATTAAAGTATGGATAATCTTTTTGTTTCTTTTGGTATCCTTTTTTCCCCATTTCTTGTAAGCTTAAACTATATGTGAACTTTTGTTTGTGCCCTTGGCTATCAAAATTATGAAATTTTAAGGTGATGACACGAAAACATTTAATGGGATGCGTTAACCAAGTCAACACAAAATTTATCAATAAACCAGATTCCTTTTGTGTAGTTCTCATATTTAGTTTTGTTTAATTTTCCATATTTCAATTTATTTTAATTAATTTTCATTTTATAGTTACTATAACTTGCTAATAATAAAAACTTTTGTCATATGAACAATGTAACCAATAAAATTTAATGTATAACTGAATGTAAAATTGACTTTTATTTTACATTTAAAAGCCAAAGCAATCATTCAGCTGTAATTGCAACTTGGATTTTAAATGCTTATTAAAGGTAATAAAATACATCTGGATTATCTAGCAGTTATACTTTGGTCAGCTATTTATTCAACTTTGCCTTTATTTGTGAGCACCCAGAAGCATTTTTCCTTTATCTCTCCTCTATCCTTAAAGAAAGCACTTATTACAGTATATTTGATCTCAAATCAATTCCTATACTTTGTTTTTGAGGCTGTCTGAAGACAAATGCAGAATTGCAAATGGAAAACCCCTCAGTGGCTTCTCAGGGATCAAGCTGAAAGATTAACTACCTCCTTCTCTGATTTGTCCAAATTGGCTTTGATTTACTTGGGGCTTCTTGCCAAGCTGACTCGAATTTGATTTCTCAGATTTGATGAAACACCGTAAGATAACCAGGAAGCCTGGGGAAAGTCAGGGCAAACAGACCATCTGACAACAGTGAGATGATTTTGAAGCTAGGTGGGTGACTGATCAATAACTACAGCAGATGTTGGTCCCAGAATGGCAGCACAAGGAATTCCTCATGCCTTATCATCCTCATACCTTCTAACTCTCGGGGAAAGCAATATCGACATCTCATAAACCACATTGTGTATTTGTTCCCCATTAGATAACAGTAAACACCGCCTTTTCTGAAGTCATGACCAGCATGATCAACCCTAGGCTATGTTTAAAATTATAGGAACTTTGTCATTTGTGACCTTCTAGGCCAGGTCCTCAAAAAAAAATGGGGACAGATATTGTTTTACATCCCTATTAACCTTCTTCCACCTCTATCTCTACTCCCAGGCTCCTGCACTTTATAGTTGCTATTGTTTCTGAAACTTTTTACCTGTCTTTCATGTGGCCCTTTCCAATATCTACAGAAATATTGCTTCTTGTGGACCAAAAATAATATATAAACCTCTGTCAAGACAGTGACAGGTTGAATAGATTTACACTGAGATGTGAATTATTGATCCCTCCACCCATCGCTTTTAATCCACCCTTTGTTGTTTGCATCTTAGAAAAGGAGTCTAGTTAATTCATATAATTGAAACAGGATTGGGATGGAGAGAGATGACTAGTACATGGTGTATCATCTCTTGAGCCTCAGCCTCTCTCACCTCATGGTAGGGCCTCTACACTGCAACTCTCTTGTCCCACTCTCTTAACATTACCCTGCGTATCATTGAGTCCAAAACATACACTCCCTTTCTCCAGATAGTCCTTTTCCAAAACTCTCTGCGGTGACTGGGAACCTGTGTTCTCATTTCAGGTAGGCTTGGATTCTTTCACCCAAATATCTCCTAATCCTGGTGGATTTGATGAAATGGTTCTTAAAATATGAAGTAGTTTGTTGCAACAAAGAAACCAAAGCAGAGACTACTGAGTAAATATTTCCTCTGTATCCATATTTTTAAAGAACTATGTACTTCTCACTGATTTGCTTCTTTCCCTGTCTGAGTGTGAATGAAGCTCTCCTATTCTAAACATCCAGAGAGGTACAGAATCCAAGAGCATAGAGGAATAGAGCCAGTGTGAAGCCTAAAATGTGACAGTAAGGAAAGCCAGACAGGCTCTAAGATTAGGGTGACTTGTGTGGCCCTGGTAACTAGCTTTCATTCCTACTTATCATGAAAGAGCTCCAAACATATAAATAAGATTGTTACAAAGATCCCTCAGCCCTCCCATTGCTAGTCCAGGGCAAACTGCTCAACTTATTACCTTTCTCACTCAAGTTGGTGGAACCAAGGCCAAAACTATGGGTCACATTCTTCAGTTAAGCTCCTGGGATTTCTGGACTAGCCTGAGTTCAAGGTAGTTTGAGGTTTGTGAGAATTCTCAGGGAGCCAGAATTTATTTATTTACTTATTCAACAAATTTTTTGAACACCAACTATGTGCAAGATATTCTTCTAGGCACTAAGAATGCAGTGGTGACAACAACGGATAAAATACTGTTTTGTTCTGAAGTCAGAGCAGGCAAAGCTAAAAATAAATGAATAAACAAGATAAAAAGTAATATGACAGGTGATAACAAGTCCTATAGAGAAAAACAGATCAATGTAAAGGGGAACACATACCTAAACCTGAATCTCAGGATCGACAGCACGACTGGATTAAAACTTTGAAGATCAGAAGCACTGAAAAGAGGAGGATGCCTCTGTCTAGATACATAAAATTATGTTAATTAAGTTTATTCTATACTTATTAATGCATGTAAGAAAGTGCAAGCAAGTTCTGATTTTAAAAATCACATTTCTAATGTTTATTTTTAAAGGCATTATAAAGCCCTGAATTGTTCAACTTCTGTGCTTAGTCTGTCTATCTTTGGGTATTTATGCTCTTGTACAAGCCACAAAGACCTCAAAAGGCTAATGGAGACCCAGGCCTAGGCAATTTCCAGTCAGCAAAGTTGACCATGTCAAGGCCTCAACCTCCTCTTTCCTCAGGCTTCGTCTTGTCTCTGTCCCTTGATTTCTCTTTGTCTCTGTCCCTGTCTCTCTTTCTCTCTCCACCCTTCCTTTCAGCAAACCATACTCTCAGAGAAGGATCTGAATGCTAACT